GAATTTGTTGCTGTTTGCAGGGTCATGCTGTTGGCTTCATGGAATTCCCCAGCATTTTCTGCCAGGCTGTCACCCAGATAACACTCGTGAAATTTCAGAATTCCTGCAAGGTATCAGAATCACGAGGTTATTCCTGCAGGGCAGGAAGAGTGCTGAGAGTAACTGCCTGCGAAGCTGGAACAGCCCTTAGCATTTGGCATTTCCAGTATAACTGGGCCAAGCACCCTGTGCCGCGTCTCACGGGGCTTTCCCAGCACTCTGAACTACAGCCTTGCTTTTAAAATCTGGTTTTGTACCTTGCACATGATGGTTCAGAGGCATGAAGGCAGAGCCATGCTTTTATGTGATGCTCAGAATGCATTTGCTACTTCAGCAGTCTCATATAAATTATAAAACAGATCTTCCATACAAGCACCTACCAGAGTAATTCCCATTTCAAAAGATGAACATGAAAAAAATCTACTAATAGCCTCTGATCACATAAATTGAACACACAAGGCTCAAATACTGAACAAAAGTGTTATTACTACAGCAGAACCTCCTTACATCACACAAAGATTTTGCATTTCTTTCATATTGATGAAAACACATTATATGCAAAGAAAGAAAAAGATGGATTAATATGCAGTAAAATACTAAAAGATAGTGTTTCACAATGGATAAACCAAATAAAGGACACTTGCTTCTTTTAAGAGTTCAACTTATTTCTGCAAATAAAACCTTCCTCCATGCAGATTGGCATATCCTTCTTGCTTATAATTAGTTCTACAGCCTGAGATCAACATTAAATGGCTGCTCTGGGTACCCTGTTTGCCTTGACAGCATAAATTATTAAACCAGTTAAGCAGAGTGGAGGAATAAAGAAGAAAGCCACTCCTTCTGCAGCAACAGCAGCAAACACAGAATAAGGATGGAGGCTCTAAGGGTACCATCCAGGTGGAATGATGAAGATCCTGGGCTGTCACTGAACCTGCTCTCTCCATCAGCACTAATGAAACTAGAAAAGGTCAGAGTAGCTGGGCTGGAGTCACTTCTGAAGAGCTCCCCAGCAAAGCTGCTCACGGGGAAGCACCACAGTCCCTCTCCTTCCCAACACCTGGCAGTGCCATCAAGGAGGCAGCCACAAACCCACCTATTTCAAGAGTGCAACTGCTTTTCTAAAAGGCCCAGTATGGGCAAGGAGGAGACTGCTCACAAAGCCTAGTGGCAAACCCTACACTTCTAATCCATATAACTTCAGTAAACTCAGCTTGATATTAACACTATAGAAGTACTGGCACTTTATTGTGCACACTATAGGTTTAAAGAGTGCATTAGTGACTGGATGTGCAGCAGGTCAACACCATCTTACACTGACACAAGCAACATTGCAAAACACCCCCGAAAAACTGTATCTCCCAATCACTGTCATCCCATCTGAAGTCAGGCACATGTGAATGTTTTTTTCTCTTCCCAAAGCATTTTTGCTGCAATCTAAATAGTGCTTTTTTATGTCTTTAGATTTGTCACAGTAAAGGGCTGCAATTATTAAATTATATCCAGAAAGAACTCATGAAAATTTAGTCATTGCTTTATTACATAATGAGCAACAGCTGTCTGCAAAAAGCAATCCTCTTCAAATTAATCCTCCTTGCTCCTCTGTGATAAGTGTTTTCCACATTCACATGAGGAGAATTCAGAGGATCAAGCAGTTCAATGGCATTATCAGGAAGTGGGGACACCCTTCTGTTTTCTGCAATCCACTTCGGTGAATGAATGTCAAAAGCTTTTGGAAGAATAAAGCACAGAAATGTAATTAAAGTGGGGATTCTTAGGCATAGAAGATTCTCACAGAGCCAACATGCTTGGAATCTCATTACTGCTCTGCCCTTTGGGAAATACATATAGATTGGAGGCTGAAAAATGGAAATATTAAGCACGTGAAACATTTCCATTTCCAGGTGAACATCAAAGCCCTGAATAAGCATTTCTATGTCATAATTGCTGTGGTTATGGCACAATTTTTAGTCTATTCACCTCTAAGGTACTAGATGGAAAGGATTTGCTTGTACATTAACTCTGATCCCAGATTCATTCCCAGCTACAAATAGTGCAATTTTCCCTTTGTAAGGCTTGTTCATAGGCTCTCACCTCCAAAAAGGACCTCACCTGCCCCAGGAGCCAGCAGCCAGCTGTACAGATAACCTGCAGCCAGTGAATAGTAGAGAACAAGTCCCCTCTGGCTGTTCACTGTCTCCAGGACCTGGTCAACGGTCACTGGAGAATAGGGATCAGAGTCCTGCTGCCCAGTCTGGCGTTCCACAAGCAGGTCAGCAAATGCCCTTGTTCGTCCTCTCTCTGCTACTGCCAAAGCTTCATCATGGTGACCTGAAAAGACAAAGCCATCTCTCAGACCTAGCACAAACGTGGTCTGCAGGGAGACGTACAGGGAGAGCTATTATCCCAACTGGAACTAAAACCTGGGAAGGGTAGTCTCTGTGTGGGAACATTGTCCCACAGATCACCTTGGTTGCAGGCAACAGCATGATATATGGGGAAACGAGCCACAAAAAGACAAACAAATGGAGGAAGCAAGACAGAAGATCCAAAGGTGACTGAAAACTAAAGCAGGACCTTATTTCTGTTCTGGCAAAGAAACACTGCCCAGCATTGGAGGAATGAGGGAAGCACCAGGAACTGCCCCCCCACAACTTCAGCTCAACTCCTGGCAAGAGCTTGGAGTTCACACTCAGGATATGATGGCATCTCTTACCGAGACTGACAAGCACTCGCTGCAGGGCCTGGTAGGAGGATGTCTGCAGGTCAAAGAGTGACAGCTTGTAGTCTGTGCTCAGCTGCACCTCGTGTCGGATGGTTTCAAACAGTGCGGAGGCCCGGTACAGCTGGGAAGGAAAATAGCCAGGGTGACTTCCTTACAGCACAAAGCACTGGCTGGGAGTGCAGGAGGATCCAGAGCTGACATACCCTCGGGCAGGGGTGGTCTGCCCCAGGCAGCCCCTCAGGATGGTAGAGGGAGGCGACTTCAGATGGAGTAGGAAGGCACAAGGGCCTGAGCCAGCTCAGTGCACTGCACACCCTCCCCAGGACACACCAGACATGTGTCCTCCCCCGAGAACAGGAATGACCCAAAGGGCTCAGAGGACACAAGCCTGCCAGCATGAGGCAGACCACGGTGTACCTGGTGCTGAGACTCCTCCAAGTTCCCACTTGCCCAGAGGGAGAGGCCGAGGCCATGGCGGATTTTGGCTTCATCTTCTCTGCGTCCCAGCTGCTCTGCCAACCTCAGTCCTAAAAAGGAGTGAGAGAGGGTCAAAATGGGTAAGGGGCTTTGACAGCTCTGTGAGCTGTTACCTCAGATGGGCCCTAGGCTCCCAGGCTCCTGTGACAGGTAGAGACAGCCACAGAGCTGCCAAGTGCTGGGACCCATGGGACCCAACCATGGGACACCCAAGCCAGGCAGTGCCAGGCATCCTGCCAAGGTCAGCTTCAGGAAAACCAGACAAACTGATGTAATTAATCCTTTAACTTCCAGCTTTGTACACTCCAGCTACACTGCTCATCTCCTCCATCAGAGCCACCACCTTGAACAGATGCTGCTTGCAAGCTGGAGTTCCTTGCAGCAACACAGCTCACAAGCCAGCACTGGTTCTGGTGCTCAGCAGCAGCAGATGGTTTCACCTCCCTAAGAAACAACTTGTTTTCACTCCCAGCTTAGAGGACACTCACCCACCTGGTCTCACTCCCACTTTTATGCAGTAGGAAAAGCCAGGTGGCTATCAGCAAGGCATATATCAGTTTGACACCTGCTCTCAGGGTCAGAGATCTGTCAGACCTGATGTGATTTTCCCAGAGTCAGTTCTTGGTATACAATCCTATTTATTGACAAGGTTTACACCTTGTAGGGTCAGATGTAAATAAGCTTTATAAAGAGACTCTGCCAGTCTGGATTCAAGCTCAGAGCTGGCTGAGACGGCCCCAGGAAGGCAGAGATTGTGCTTTGCAATGCTGTGTCTGCAGGATGCCAGGAAAGCTCTGACTGACACAGTGTGCTGACCAGCCTTCTTAGACAGTAGCTATGGATGTCTGCAAGAGCTTTTGCATCAAAATCCACCAACAAAACTATCCTTTTAGTGCCAGGCTCACAGTACCTCACATCTCTCAGTATCTTCAGGCCTCTCCCCTACCCCCCAACACCTACTACTACATGCTGTGCTGCATTATTCAGCCTCTTACCTTCCTGAAGGTACATCACAGCCTGAGAGTAGTTCTGCAGGGCATGGTGAGTCCTCCCCAGACTGCTGTAGGACAGAGTTTTGGCTACAAGGTCATTCATTTGTGCTGCAATGCTGAGGTGCTGCTCCTGATAAACCACTGCCCTCTCGTAGGTGCCCAAGGACTCGTAGGTCAGCCCCAGGTTCCCATAGGCACGGCCCTGGCAGGTGGGGTTGTTGGTCTCCTCTGCAATCTGCAGGTCCAGCTGGTGGTACTGCAGGGCTGTGTCATACTCCCCCATCTGCTGGTAGACCCCACCGAGGCCACAGGCAGCGTCGCTCTCCAGGGCTCGGTCCTTCATCTCCCGAGCGATGTTCAGCTGGCGCTCCAGGCAGGAGATGGCTTGTTCATAGTTCCCCAGCTGGCTGTGCAAGCTCCCCAGCTCCCCGTAGGCCTGGGCTTTGTTAAATGCCTCCCCCAGCTCATGTGCCACCACAAGCCTCTTCTCAAAACACACCAGAGCCTGCTGCAAACTTCCCATGGCCCTGCAGGGGAAGAAAACAACAGCATTTATTTTGTCAGTACTTTCTCAACAGAATGTTTTGTCATCTCATCTAGAGGCCAGCTCAAACCTTTCAGGCAGAGCCAAGTGCTCCCCCCAGGAGACATCCCTGGCACCTCTAAATCAATCTCCTCCTCCTGCAACCCTGTAAACTTCTCTTCCTCTCAGGGCAGAGCACCACCAGCTTTGTTCCTGAGCTGGTAGCACAACCCTCAGCACCCAGAGGGCTGTTACTCACTCCCATGCCAGATCCCCTGTACAACAGCCACACAAACACCCCCATCAGTAGCTCAACACACCCATGTGTGCTGGTGCTTCCCTCTGTCACCAGAACACACAGGCAGTGCTCCTCACCTGTGTCCATTGCCCAGGCCCCGGTAGGCCTTGGCCTGATCTTGCATACGGTTCAAGCTTTGAGCCACAGACAGGTACTGTTCGTAATACTTTATAGCTTCCTCAAAATCTCCCAGAGCCTCGTAACAATCTCCCAGGTTCCCATATGCTCGGCCCCGATCTAACACAGACTCGTTTCCACTGAGCTGCTGCAGCATGGCCAGCTGCTGCTCAAAGTAGCCGATAGCTTCCTCCATGACATTCATGTTCATCTTGGTGATGCCCATGTTACCATAGACTTGGGCTTCTATGCTGGGGTCCTTCAACTTCTGCCCAAGCTCCAGTTGCTCCTCGTAACACTTGAAGGCCATGGTGTACTTCCCCAGCGACATATACACTGCAGCAAGGTGACCATGTGCTCTGCATTCACCAGGCATATCTCCCAGCTCCTGGTACACCTCCAGCTCCTGCGTATGGTAACCTAGAGCCTTGTCACACTTCTGTATCATTCTGTATGCAGAGCCCAAAGCTGCATAAGCACTGGCTTCCAGTCTTCTGTCCTTAACATGATGGGCTAAGCTCAACTGCTGCTCATAAAATTTTATTGCACCACTTATGTCTTTTTTACAGACAAAAATATCCCCTAAGTTCCCCAGAGCTCGAAATTTGGCCTGGGAATTGTTCAGAGACTGGGCCAGGGACAATAGGTACTTCTGACACTCCTCTGCTTTGCTGAAGTCCATCAAGGCTTTGAAGGCAAGGCCAAGGTTGCAATAGGCTTTGGCTTGGCTCAGCTTGTCATGAAGATCCTTTGCCAAGGCAAGATCCTGCTCGTAGTACTTAACAGCTTCCTCATAGTTCCCAAGGCAGTAATGGGCATAGCCAAGGTTGTGGCAAACCTTCCCTTCGCCTTCCATGTCCTGCAGCTCCGGGGACAGGCGCAGATACTGCTCGTAGTAAGGGGCTGCCTGCACAAACTCTCCTCTTGAGCAGTGGAAGTTGCCCAGGTTGCTGAGGGCCCGAGCTTCGCTCTGGATGTCTCGCAGCTCCCTGGCAATGTTGAGATGGTTTTGGTAGTGCTGCAGAGCACGGTCATGGGCACCCAGTGCTTGGTAAGCAACTGCCAAATTCCCATGTGTAGATGCCTGGGAGGCACGGTCATTCACTTCCATCGAGATCTGCAGCTCCTGCCGGTGGTACTTGACAGCCTGGTCGTACATGCCCAGAGCGTTGTAAGCGTTGCCCATGTTGCCGTAGGCCCGGCCCTGGGCCGCGTAGTCGCTCAGCTCCTGAGCTATGGACAGGTGTGTCTTGTGCAGACGTAGAGCAGCATCGTAGTCACCTTTCATCTGGTGAATGATCCCTGAAAAGTAACAGAAATGGACTCAACACACTCCTCCACACTGACCCTCCTGCAACATCTCACCACGCCAGGGCTTCCCTGCAGCCAGGCCCTCCTGTAGGGCTGAACATCCAAGTTCCACTACCTCAGCACGAAACACTCTGCCTGGATTACCTGTAGTTCTATTTAAAAAATCTGTTCCCTTTCCGACTAACATGAGGCTTCTGGATAAGGCAGTTTAGAAAACATGGGCAGAAGAAACCAGGATCAAAACAGCAAATCCTTGGCTGCTGCTGCCTGTTTCTCTCCTGCCCCTGCCCTGCACTCATAATCAAAGCTAGATGTCAAGGCAGGAGGGGGAAACTGGCTCCCCAGTATCTCAGTCCAGCTCCTGGCCAAATCCTTCTTCAGCTCCAATGGGCCTACAGCTCTAGTTGATCAGCTTTAGCTGTTGCACCTCTGGCTGATGCCTCCACGAGACAAGACACACCATTGCTCTCCACCAGCCCCAGCCCCACCTCCTCTGAGGAATCTGGTGTGGGTAAGCACTCAGCTTGGAGTGACTGCAGAAGGGAGAGAGGATGGAAAACAGGTTAAGAGCAAATTTGAGTTCATCTGACTGCCTAGATAACTTCTTATTTGATGAGACTGTTCTTACTCAAGAGTCAGAAATCAGAAAAGGACAAACCTTATAAAAAAATGTAGTGGTGATTTTGGCACAAAGGAGGTGAGTGCTACTCAAGATGTACCGATGAAATTCAGCCAAGAAGAACTGCTGACACAAAGAAGGATGAGATCATTATGGAGGAAGGATTGGACAACCTTGTGTACCAGAGCAACAAGAACTCAGCAGTTTGAGCAGATGACACTATGTAAACATGTGCACTTCAAAACTGCAAGGGCAGGGAGTCACCATCTGGAAATGAGAAGGAGCTTGGTTTGAAATCCATACTTCAGCTTATAATTTCTCTTGTGCCCCAAAAAATAATTCTAAATAGCTCTCATACTAGTATATCTACTGGTAACTACAGTCGTCAGGGCAGATCCCTGTTGTGCTTAATCAGGCTGAGGTTCCTCTCACCACACAAGAATCACCAGCTTCAAGATGTCAATCTGACTCCCATCACAAAGTCCCTCTCCTTATTTTTCCATCTCAGCTTTCCTACCCTCCTTGGAGCAACATCTTTGGCAGCACTGGAGATTATTTTGGCAAATATTTAACTGACTTGACAAAGACAAAAATCTTTAGTATCCAAGGTGATTCAGAATATCCTTGTGAACAGACAGGATGCAACAGCTCAGCCCCAAAGCTTAAGGAGCCTGAAGAGATTCTACTTCACTGTGTGGAAGAAGAAAAGTCAGTGCACACTGACAACTCAGGATCTGTGTCTGCAGCAGGAGTGGTGGATGAAAAATGAGAATGCTAGGTAGAAGTCCTGTGCTCACTGTAATTATCTGTGGAGGTGGTGGAGGCACTGTCCCTGGAGGTGTTAAAAAAAATGGGTAGATGTGGTGTTATGGGAGATGATTTAGTGTTAAGGGGTTGTAGGGTGGATGGCTGGACTTGACAAAGGTCTTTTCCAACCTTGACAATTCTATGATCCTACCTCTCTTCCTCAACATGGAGGAACTCACAATGGAGGAAGAGTGTTGGGGATGCTGACTCAGCCCCAGACTCCCACTGCGACTTCATACCACACTTGAGGATAGATAAGGAGTATCTGGGGCTCGAGAGAAAAGAAATTCCTGCCCCGGGACACCAACCTTTCCTGTTCTGCATGAAGAAGTGAAGTGGGAGAGGAAGATGGCAAGTCAGACACACAGCACAGCTTTGAATGGCAAAGAGCAGCCAGGGAAGCAACATTCACAGTAAAGGTTAGAGCCCAGGTTACTGAAACAGCCGGTGCTGCCCTTCTCTGGAAAGGCTATGGGTGGAGTTAACAGAACACTGGAAGAGGCAGCCCAGAGAGGTTGTGGAGTCTCCTTCTCTGGAGACATTCCAAACCTCTACGGACATGTTCCTGTGTGAACTACTGTAGGCGACCCTGCTCCAGCAGGGATTGGATTAGATGATCTTCAGATGTCCCTTCCAACCCCTGCAACTCTCTGGCTCTGAGTTTCACCCTGGACTCTATGTCCACTGAAAAGGATGCTCTCTGTCACAAGTCCTGCTCAGGCAAACTCCTGGAATTTCACCTAAAAATTTAAGGTTGCTCTTGGGAAAAGAGGAACCTGGTAAGAGACCCCACACAGCACCTCCTGGTATGTTTCCATCATTTGCCAGGGGTAATTACAAAGGATGGCCCAGGAAGGAAAGGTTCTGACTCAGACGCCAAAATCGTCACCTACCAAATATATTCTCTCTTTGTTCATTCCTCAACGGACAAAAATGAGGTTCGTAGATGGATGGGAGATGAAGCCTTCACAGTTCTAAATGTTTTAGTCAGCCTCATTACTGCCAAGAAAGGAGAAAAACAGTGAGCAAATGTTCACCAGGAGATACCCAGGACAAAATCAAGTAGCATAACAGAGAACAAAGCTGTGCTCTCTTCAGTCTGCTATCACATTAGTTTGCTTGAGCTGTCACCCATCTGTTCATAGATGAGGGAAAGTGGTCCTGGGCCCCTTGGGCTAGTCCTCCCAACAACTGGGGAACAACTGGGGAAGAGATGGCCAAATGTCACCACCATTTTTGACACTAATTGCAAAAATGCTTCAAGAGAAAATACTTGGCACCAGGACACGAAGATAGGCATAGAAGTTCTCTCGTAACTACAAAGAAATGGTAAGAACTGAGGGAGAGACTTTAAACTGTGTTTTATCAATAATCCAAAGTGTCCTCTCCATTGCAATGGCAACCCTTAAGAGCTGCTGAGGCTGACAAGCCAGCGCTCAACATGGAGCCCTGGCATTTGGAAACACCATCTGCCTTGCAAGACAACCCAAGACTTCTGGTTAAACTCTACATCTCCTTGTTGTGAAGGGCCTGATAACTTGTGACTTGCCTTCAGTCCATTACCTCCTGCTTACTGAGCCACAGAGCGCCTTGCATCTCCCTGCAGGGCCTTGCAGCAGCTGGGCTGTGTTACAGCCTGTGGCTGTCTTGCTCAGCAGCAGATAGCACACTTAAGAGAGCTTTCCATCTAAATCACTGAAATGCAAACAGAACATTTCTGTTGCTTCAGCAAAGAGGCCAACTCAAACATTCTGGCTTGGAAACATGCATTAAGATATATTTTTTTGCCCATCAGCATGGTTATTTTGATGAGGTTTTGTTTTGCATGTGGATTAGATGAAAGAGACAATTACGGCTTGACTTTTTAATTCGTACTGGATGCATTTTAAACAACAGCAATAGACTTTCTCAACAAGAACTGCGTGTTCTCTTTCTCTAGTATAACTTAACTCTGACAGAGAAGACACAAAAATATAGCCAAGTAACAGATGAAACGTGAGATCCTGCACTCAGAAGCCAGGGAAACTATTCTAATACAGAGTTTAGAGTAGCTGAGTCAGCATACCAACTAAAAGTTATATTTAGGCTTAAATTCAACAAAAGAAAAGCATTCTCTGCTGTACCAACACTTTTTTTTCCCCATCCAAAAATTTATGGAATTACATGCTGAAAGGATCATTAAATCCAAAGCTGCTGTAAGATTAATAATGATATTAAGATGAATTTTCTAGTCCCAGCATGACTGATTTTGAGCCAGCAAAACAGTGAGAGAATTTAAACTGCAAAGTGAGAACCATGAAGGTAGAGGAACAAGAGCAAGCTGTTTTCTTTTGCAGCAGTGCTTGTTTCATCCTGGGATGATGCAAAGCAACTACTGCGAGCACCAGCACTTGCAGCAAACTGCTAAGCCCATTTCTCAATGTCTCTGTACAAGTTTGTTGGGGTGTTTTTATGCTGCCGAGCAGCACAAAGGCAGACTATGTTGAACATACAGGCAGCTGGAAGAAAGGGTACAGGACTTGAATCAAGCTTGCTCTGCTAGCAAAAGAGCTGTGCTCTGCCCAGAGGCAACGGGCTCACAAAAGAGACAATATGGAAAAGCCAGCATGGTTCATCACCATACCAATATAAGGAAGAAAACCAAAACCAAGTGACAGCTTCCATTTCCCCAAACTGCATTTCCTCGGTTTTCTGGATTTGCTCAGGAAGGATTGGGGCAGTTCTCCAGAAAGCAGCAAGTGCTTCAAATGAAAGACAAATGAAAGGGGTCCCGACCCCTGGAGGATGTCCACCTGCCTGTTACAGGTGCCCATAGCTGAACACACCATGCCATCTCCCAGGTAACTATGCCAGCAGAACAGCCTGCATACCCTCTGTTCAGCTTCCACTGGAAACAAAACATACCAGGTTAAACTTCACGCAAGAGGAACTTTCCCTCAGTCCTGACCATGAGAGGGAAAATCAGTGCTGCCCAGGCACAGCCAAGGAGAACGTCTCCATCTCCCCACCAAGGACCCGAAGTTACATGTCCTCCTGCTCCCTGCTTGGACAATCCAAGGTCCCTGCCTCCACATGGTCCCCTCTGTCCCTGTCACAGACCAGTGGATCCCTCACATCTCTGCATTATCCCTAAGCCCAGCCTCGCACTGGCAGCAGAGATGGAGGATGTACAGTTTGTGCTTTGCTAGATGCATCTACTGTTGTTCTTTGCAAAAGCCCTTAGACAAGTGTTAGAGAAAGCCAGATGCAAGGCTTCATCCTCCCAGCCCCCTGCCTGTGGGGTGCTCTGTCACACTACCAGAAATGCCATCAATGCTCTCTGCTCTCTAATGCTAAGCTTGCCACAGGCACTTTTGCCTCTCAAGCCCATTTTGCCTCACACATTTGCCCTAATTTGTGTAAAGAATGAGAATCGCAAGACTAATTAGAAAGCTAGGACTGTTTTGTTTTCTCCAATTCACCTTATCTTCTTCATTCAGCTCCTGAAGCCTCAGCTGTTAAGAGAAATTAAGTAATTCATCAAGCCCTTTTCAATTACCTGCTGTTGATAACATCACAGTACAATTAGCATCTACAAATGAACCAAGTGCCAACTGCCAAGCAGAAACAGAAGCTAATTTACAGCGTGGGGCAACCTAGAAGAGCTGAGATTCAGGGGCTGCCAGCAAAAGCATATTTTGTTACAGCAGCAACTGCCCTGTTCTGCCACTCCCAGGCAGCTGAGAGCACATCCTTGGTGACAGCTGGAACATCAGCAGCAAAACACCACATCCCACAGCAGAGACAGAAACACATCTCTGCTCCTTTCCATGTCTGCTGCTGTGAAGAAGCAGCAGAAATTTAATTCAGTCCTTCCCAGACTGCCAGCAGGTTGCCAGTGATTCCTCTTAGAAGAGCATGACACTTCTACATTGTATTATTTTAATGTGTGTGTTCTGAAAAAACTTAGGATTTGACCCATGTGTCTCCCAGCTGACAAGTCAGCAAGATGTTGGCACATCCAGCTGACAAACTCCCAAAGAAACGGTCAGGTAACGTAGCACATCACTTCCTATCTTACTGCAAGACTTACTTTTCTTTCTGACACTCGAATGGCTGGCTCTTCAATTGCACTTTACCATTTCACTGTCATGAGCTTGTGCTTTCTGGTGCCTTCCCGAGCAGGTTAATAATCAAACTTGGGACACACGCTCTCAGTACACAATGTGTAAAGTGCCTGAATTTATGAAGACAATCTGGTGAAACTTGGGTAAGTAACAAAACGGCACACAGCAAACCTCCTGCATCCTAGCAGCAGCTCTGATAGTTACAGCATTCCCTGCCAAATTCTGCTCCATGCCAGGGCCTTACCTAGATTGGAGGAAGCTCTGCCTTCAGCAGCTCGATCCTGCAGGCTCTCAGCAATGTGCAGCTGTTCTTCATGGTACTGCTTAGCTCTCTCCAGGTCCTGCATACATCTAGCTGCATGGCCCAAGCCAGCGTAAGCTCGCATCTCAATAGCCTTCTCAGCCAGCTCCTGGGCCAACTCCAACACGTAGTTGTGGTACGACATGGCTTTGTCAAAGTTCCTCCGGTAGTGGTAGGCGCTGCCGAGGTTGCTGTAGGCTCGAGCCTCCTCCCGCTTGTTTCCCAGCTCCTTGGCGATCTGAAGATGCTGCTCGTGGCACTGCACGGCGTTTTCAAAGTCCCCCATTGCAATGTACACTGCTCCCATGTTGCCCAGCTCCCGTGCCTCGGAGAGCTCATCCTTGGCCTGCTTGGCGAGGAGGACACACTGCTTGTGGCTGGCCAGGGCGTTCGGGTAGTCCCCGATGGCTGTGTACACGTGGCCCAGGCTGCTCAGCGCTGAGGATGCTGCCTGCATGGTAAGGGAAAAAAGTAAGAACAATTATCCACAGAAACAAACAGGATGGCTTCAGTCCTAGAAATCAAAGCCACAAAAGGCTATTCTGGAGAGTGTGACTACCAGCGAGAAAACCTGCTCTCTGCAGCTCTTCACACTCCTAAGGGAAGGTCAGGCAGAGGCAGAAGGAACGGGGTTGCCTAGGGAGAACAGGGCTAAGATCACCCCTTTCTCTGAAATGCACGGTGTGCCTGTGTCTCTGGTAGAGGGAGAGGACAGCACTGCAAGGCTGCAGAGACCCCTGAGGAAACGGTGGTCGCTGCAGAAATCTGCACTCTAGGACCAGCTTGAGCTGTCTCACAGAGCAAGACTTCCCCTGTAGGCAGTCACACCTCAGGTCCCCTCTCATGCTACTTCAATATCTACACCAAGTCCTGCTAACAGCAAACAATCCTCTGTATAGCAGCTCTTCAGAAAGCAGACAAATAATAGTCACCTGCAGAGAACACCACAGAGAAATGCCGGCTCTGTTCCACCCTCCACCCAGCAAGCCCATGTCAAAGCAACAGACTCCTGAGACCCTGCAGGCCAATGCCAAGGCACTGGCAGAGACCAGCAGCCGAGCACACAGCTTGGTGTAACCAAGCTGCAGCCCGAGCCACCAGGAGGACTCTGCAGTCTTTTCTTTCCAGGCTAAATGGCCGCTGAATACCCGCTGCTGGAAAACTGACACTTGCAGCCAGCACTCAGGTGGGAAAAGGAAGGTGCCTCTGCTGCTGCTCTTAGGCCAGTCTGCAGTCACCAACATCTTCACACACTTCTGCTTGTCCAATTACTCCACACTCTGAAGAGTGTTGTTCTTACTGTACCAATATGGTCCTTCTAGGACAACATCATTTATTACTGAGCCCAAAGCAACCTTGGGACTGCAGCAAAGACAACAATATTTTAGCAGCTGGTATCTCTGTCCCCTGGGACATCGTAAATAAATATGGCTGTTTGAAAACCTGAGTTCTTGCCACCAAGAAACAGCTCTATTTAACAAGACAAACTATCTGAGAAGCAGATTATTTTGCCCACTACACCCACCAGGACACAGGCCTTCCTTCAACCTGGCAGAGCCAGAGCATACACAGCCAGACAGCAGGGCAAGGAGCCAGGAGCAGGGATGTACTCCTTCTGCCTGACACATCTGCTGCCTCAGCAAGGCTGTTCGCTCCAAATCCCTGACCCTGAGTCCTCCACTGTCCCTGCATGTGCATTTCCTTCATGACCCAACTGCTGCTGTGACCCAGTTCCACAACAGCCAACCTTCCCAAACCTCCAGGAAGGAGCAGTTAGGGAGAATCACTGCACAGAGATCAGCACCAGCCCTCCTTGGCACCCTACCTCAGGCAAGGTCCAGGCCACCCTTCCACCCAAGATGGTGACAAAGCATCTCAAGACACTTCTCCTTGCTATTTAGAATGGCAGAACCCTGTGCTACTCATAAACAGGTAACACCAAGTCAAGAAGATCTATGGGCCAGAGCAAGAGCCAGATAGCATGGGTGATAAATTATTTTTGTGACCAGCAGCATTAACAGAGTAATATTTTCACAGGAAGGAACTGTAAACACACATGCTGATTCAATTTAATAGGGAAACCATCTTTTCTGATATAAGAACCTGAGGTGACAGATTAGCTAATAAACACAATTTACAGGTCATAAGATAGAGAAGTTACAAGGAAGCTCTCCCTTGGCCAGCTCCGTAAATAGCCAAGCTGCATTTGTTCTCCCTGAGGCATCCTTTCAGGGAGCTTAATTATAACGGAAGAACTGCCAGAATTCAAAATGTCTTAATTTTTTTCACTTAGTGGTAGAGATGAACTTCGTTCAACACAAGGGACAATGAAAGCACAGCAGTGGCAGAGCAGCAGCTGCCGTTGGGAAGCCCCACAGCACCCCTGCCATGTCATGCCACCACACCCCGTGACAGCAAGGCCCTGGGCTCAGTCCCACAGATGGTCAGAGCAGGGATACATGCTGTAATGAACTAGAAATAAACCACTTTTGCTGCTGTAATTACCACAGATCAGAGAGGGGAGCAGCTAGTAGCAACTCCTCAGTGACACAGTGCCAGGCTGGGGACAAAGCCAGTCAACAGGCTGCCACATAGCCCAACAGTTTCTTGGGCTTGGGAGGGATTTCTCCAACAGCAAGCACCACAGGTGGTGAGAAAACCAGCTAAACCCTCCAGAAATAAATGGTTTATAGCCCCTGCAGCAGCACAGGCACCTGGCTGAGAGGAGGCCCTGCTCTATCTTGGTCAGACTTGCCACAGTGTCAGGGTCATTTGGCCCTGGACAGGCTCTTGAGCAGTGCAGGGAAGTAACTTTTTGGCTGAGGCCAGTGAGAAAAGGTTCTTATCTAAAAGAGGGTCTGAGGGGGCCTGTTTTGAGGCTGCTGTAAAACCAACACAAGCAGTTTTGCTCTGACTTTTAACCAATTTTTACACAAATCTTCATGAGGATTAATACAAACATAGTATTGAGTAATTCGCAATCTTACTATGAAAAAACAAAAGAAAACAAAACAAACTAGATAGATGCAGACATCTTGCACAAGCCAGACCAAAATACTGCGTGGGGCCCATCACAGACATCAAGATCCAGAGCTCCCTTTGTCTTGCTAGTGAGCAACACTCACTGCTGCACAGGACAAACCATTCCGGGCAAAGCTAAAACCCAGGCCACCAACCCAGCAGCACTTCTGAAATAACTGGGCACAGCATGGAAATCCTCTTTCGGAAAACAAGGAGTCAGTGAAAACTGGTGTCTCTTGGGGCTGCTAAAAAAAAAAAAAAAAAGTGGACATTTTCACAGATTGCTGAGTAAGATGAGCTGTGGCAAAGAGCCATCCAGACAGAGACTCAGAGGATGTGAATAGGCTATAGCTAGGGAAAAGAGGCATAAATGGAAAGCAGCCAATCTCAGACTTTGTGCACAAGAGGAACTTGAGAGATGCAGAGACTGTTCTGACTGTACATGGGAAGAAATCTTAAGGAGTTCTCCTAGACTGGGAAGCAGATCGTAAGAAGGAAAATTTGTGTGGCTTGAAATGTTTACTCTCAGGGCTCCTAATCCTTTTGCCCAACAGCATTTACAGGCTTACAGTAAAGACCAGAACGAAGGGTACAAGCCTGACAACTTTTCTCAGGGCATGCAAAATGACCTGGCTTATACATCTGAGTGCCCAGGGCTGGATTGTCCAAATCAGGATGTGGGAGGAGGACAGGAGAAACAGAAAAGAATAATAAGAAGGACAAGACAAAAAGAGAAACGGGAAATGAAGGGTAAAGGCCTGAGAAGAAATAGCCCATCTCAATTTTAAAGATGGGCTGTTTCTAGAGGCTCTGCTGCTGCTCACACAGTCACCTTTACCCTCTGACGTGGCCTTCACATCAGTGCTCTCCCTGTGCTTCATTCTGCAGCAGCTTCCTCTGCAACTGATACAAGGGCTCCACGAGAAGCATTTCTCAATCATCTTGGAGTCTGCACGAGCAGAGCCTCTGTCACTCCTGGCTTCCCTGGGGCTTTCTGTGTGCAGCTTTTCTTCTCTCGGTTCTACATGCTTGTGGGGGCAATCAGTGGAAAGACTATGGAGGTTGACATTAAAGCAGTGTTTAGGAACAATTTAGTGATTACATCTGCTGGGAGACATTAATGACTCACTTCAGGGGGTTAGTAATAGGATTCCAAAAGATAAATTCATCACTGTATACTTAAAATCTTCTGCATAATAGGATCCACTAGGGGCTCTGAGGGCAGGGCTATTCCCACCTGCCCTGGCAGAAGAGTCAAAACATTGCACTGGGAGTACAAGGTTGAGACATGTGAAACAGACTCCAACTGTACTAGCATGAACCTAGTAGGGTGATGGGAGACTACAGCTTCATACAGTGGGGTTTTGCACCAGCAAACAAAGAAAAGCAACACTTTATATACCTGACAAAGACAAATTTTACAGTGGGGGTTGCTTACACCTCCAATTATGCAATTTATCACTTTAATAGAAAGCAGATTCTTCTGCCACTGAGCCGAGGCACCAAAGGGAGCTCTGAAAATGGTTTCTAATTACTCTCTTTTTCTTGGGAGCAACAGACAGCTTAGGCTTTTCAGCTGAATAAGGTAAAGAGTCTGATGTTAAGCAGATGTGCATCACAGAAAGACAACTAATAGGGACCTGGCGACTTGGAGAGATGTGTTTCTTAGCTATTTCATCCTTGCAAGATAATGGTAATTCCCCAATTACGTTACATTTAAACAATTCTTTAACCAATTGCACAGACTCCTTAAATGAGAACACTGTATAATAATTTTTAAAGGGCAAGGTGAAAATGCTCTGCCTGGTATCTCACTATAAGGTAGCCTTAATCCCCAAACATGGACATGAACTAGGATTGATCAAAGATCAGCTTTTACAGCCAAGGTGGGAAAATAACTGGCACAGACTAAGTAGGGCATGGGGTAACAGCAGTGCCTGATCCTACACAGTGCAGTGGAGTTGTATCCAAAAGACCAGTCATGCATACTCAGAACATCTACACTCAGGACAAGCAGCAATATGCTCTCTTCAAAAGCCAGCACGCCTCGTGCACAAGCTTGGGAAGGCAAACAAAGGTTTCCCAGTTCCTTGGGTGTGTTCTGGGGGTGGCGAGGGGAGGGCAGCTCCAATAGATTATTTCTGAACACGTGTGCACTGGGGTGGGCTCTGCAGCGCTCAATTCCACAATGAAAAGCAAGTCACACAAAATCCACTAGCCCAGGAACGCTACAAAGCAGACCTCAGCATCAAGTCTAATCATCTCCTGGGGCTCTCGTATCTTCATCCCACACAGCTTTCTGGACACAGTCTAAAAGGCTCCTGTGTGAAATCACTTTAGCAAGGATGGCTGACTTGACATTTTCAGTGATGATGCAAGGAAAGAAGCCCTCACTTAAAACCACAAGCTTCTCTGAGACAGTGACACTAA